GCTTTATTCATATCGGGACTCACCCCGATCACCATTTTACATCCAACAAAAAAAAACAAAAAAACAAAAAAACAAAAAAACAAAAAAAAACAACAACAAACAAACCAACAAAAAACAAAACACCCACACCCCCAGTGGGATTTTTCTTCTCTACTCTACTGCGGGTCTCTTCTTCTTGCTTTTCTCTTGATTGTCCCGTGACTGCCCAGCCTCCATGCTTCCTAGACCACCAAGCAAGTTGACTCCTCCCTGCTCCTCCACTACAGCATATGGTGGACCTCTCCAAATCGGAACATCACGGTGGCCTTCCGCTTCAGCTCCTTGTTTTCTGCCTTTAGCACACTTATCTCTGCTCGCGCATCCTTATACATGCGTTGGAGCAGAGCCAGCTGGGAGTTTAACTGTTGCACTTCATTTGTCCTGCACTGCAGCCGGTGCGACAAGTTTGTGACCGCTGTCATGGTTTCCACACATGACTTCAGAGTATACTGATTGGCCTCAATATCCGTTTGCACTGCCATTTTTTGCTCCACCGACCGCATCGGAAAGTTCAACGGAGCAAAACCAGAGGTGTTTGGTTGAGGTTCACGAGCCACCGCACCGGTTCACTGGCCATCGCACCAGTTATTTCTCTTGTGGACTCGTTCAGTTCTGGAAAGAGCGTGAGCAGACCACGGGACGAGGAGGTCATGTTCTGGGTAGCTGGACGGGAAGAAGAGGCCATGTTATGGTTGCTGAGTGTTTCAGAGATGGGTTGGTTACAGAGTGTTTACAGAGTGTTACCAGTGTATCTCTCTCAGCCCACGAAGAGTTTTTCAGCGGTTTCAGACTGGTTTGATTTCCACATGTTCTCTCAGCCTTCGCCTTCATTTATATAGCACATGACGAAGCGGCCGACACGCGCACTGTCGATCACGTGCATCGCCGCGTGTCTGGCGCGCCTTTTGATGACACGTCTTTTTATGGATTGGGCAGTATATTGCTACCCAAGAACAAGAGGTGGCATCCAGTGGGAAGAAATATGGAGGACTTGTTCCAAAGAAAAAAAAAAGCCTTTGATCTCCAAGGATCATGAACGTGCCTTCTTTGATTCTGCAGATTGGGCCTTATGCAAGCAAGGTGCAGGAGTGAACCAAAAATCAACAGTTGCTATTGAGACTTTACAGCCAAAGTCACATCAACACTCCTTATGGTTTTCCTTGTATGGACACGAATCCGAGAGCAGCTCATCCCCCGAACACGATGCCTGCCGATGCTTACTCCGCCACTCCAGCCCTCTTGCTGGCAGATCTCGCCACCACCGTCACCTCCACTCCCTCCGTCGTCCGCAAATGGCTCCGAACCACTCTCTCTCCAATACCCACAACCAATCTCCTTCGCATCTCTGCATCGAGATCGCCAAGCTCGAAACCCAGATCTCCTATGGCGTCTTACACTACATCCTCTTCGTCTCCTATGTGTTACCTATGTTACAGGAGATGGACCTGATCAGCCTCAACCAAGGATGGCTTTCACAGGTGATGCATTATTAATACGTGGATGTGGGAGGACAGATTTTCCGGGTGGAAGTTCAGAACAGCTGTATAAATCAGTGCATTCACAGCTCTTTACACTGCCCAAGGACACCCTCATAAAATAAAATAAACACATATCAACACACTGCCGCAGCACAGGGACAAGGGACACACACACACAACACCCACGTTATTTTCCACTTTTCTTTTATTTTAATATATATATATATATATATATTCTAACAAAGATTATCCATTAGAATGACCTTAATTTATCAACTGAACAATTGTACTGTAATAAAATTGGGATCGAAGCAAATGTCTAATAAAAAATTTAAGCAAATAATCAAAAGCATGTTGAACAAAATATCCCGATTCAATCTAAGGGGCAAGGTGGAGGGGGTCCGTGGAACTAAATAATTGGCATCGGCCGGCCAGGTGGGTTAATAAGGCGGCACAGTGTCGTGTGGTGTGTGTAGCTCGACGGACTCTGTATAGCTGTTCATCTCAAACGTGCGATTCCGGTTGAACTGATAGATCTGTCGGTTCATTGCCAGAGCAGAACTGTGCGAAACAGTAATTCGTATGTGTCGATGTTTGTTTCTTGCGGAATGCCGTTTATTTCACTTCCTGCTTACTTACGGTTCTTCCTATGGGCTTTGTTAGACAATTTGATCATCCAACCTGAGAGACGCGAGTTACCCGACGTAATGGGTTAATCGGCGTCAATATGAATATAGCAAGGGATAATCACTAACGATACACACTCCAGCCACGTCACCTTCCACTAAATCAATACTCGCACACCCTCCGCACATTCAAACTCCGTACACTACACCACAATTTTTTCTTTCTGATATATAGGAATTCCGTTGTAATTGTAATCTATATCAAATCAACACATCATCAATTAATACAATTCTCATGTTCTCTTATACATTAATTTCTACAATGGTGGCGATTAAGATTTAGGGCTCGGCGTTATTTTGTTTTACTCACGCGGCAGCTGCCGCAAGCCTTTGCTTCGTCTGCCGTTTTTTTTTTTTTTTTATTTTTTTTTTTATTTTTTTTTTTTTTTTTTATTGTATTTTTCATTTTTTTTTTTTTTTCTCTTTTTTTTTTTTTTTTTTTTTTTCGATTCTTTCTTTGTTTTTTTTTTTTTTTCTTCTTTTTCCAACTTTCTAAACTGTTGTCCCCATAATGGGCTTCATATCTACCAGTCATTCTATGCTTGTTAACCTCGAGTATGTGTAAAGTCCTCCTGTCAAGATGCATCAAGTGCCTCCTAATGGACAACCTCTTCTTGATCAAGCTTCCTCAGCCCTCCTTTCTTCCCCTCTCTTGAATGGAGTTTGGTACACCCATGGCTCCTAAATGCTTAATAGTATACTCTGATGTAATGTGGCTAAAACGAAGGCCTCTCGAGCTAACTAAAAAGATTGGGGCCTTCATGATCCCTTGCATATCAGCATCCATAACTCATTCACTTTGTAAATCTATATATACAGATCCTGTGTGTGTTCAGCTGACTCTCCCCAAAGCAACAATGAAGTCTGTCCTGTCTCACACTCCAATTGTCCGCCGACTCACACTGATCACTGGTTTCAGGCTTTGCAGCCACAACTCTTTCAATTGCAAGGTACATCAACAACCTGCTTTTTTGCTTCACACTGGCGAGGTTAACTCCTGTAAGGTTATCGCAGTAAGCAGATCTGTGTCAGGTCATGAGGTGATATGGGTTATTTTTATGTTGATTCGCTTTCTCTACGCTGAGCAGCTTGAGGAAGAGTTCTGCAGAGCTTCGATAGTACTTACAATGCCCAAACGGCAAACTTTCCGCCTTAAATTTGGGCAAACCTTCAGCGCAGTGCGGCTGCTTGCGGCAAGAGTAGGAACGGTAAGTAGCGTCATCTCTTCTCACGCAGCCCTAATTTCTCATCCTCGAATCACAGTGAATTTGGGGAGAGAGAGTGGTTGGGGAGAGAGAGTGTGTATGTGGTTATCTGTTTTTTGTGCGAAGGGACAGAAGAATTATGCACATGTTTCCCACCTTTTTCTTTATTTTGTCCTCCAACCTTCTACACCTCACATGCCTTGCGTCCTCTGTCTACACAATAATTTTCCACCATCTCCACTCTTTTTCTATACACAGATATTTTTGTACTGACCGCCCGACTCCTATGCATACCAATATTATTGAATATTAATTATTATTTTTCAATCAAAAAAAAAAAAAAAAAAGAGAAATTCATTCCAGTTGATTTTCTTGGCATATACGCAACCTACCTACATGGTCCGTAGTTTTGCCGACACAACTTGCTTATTCATTTCAAGGGAGAAACCCCGATCTACAATGCATTTACTCATCAGCAAAAAATAAAGAAAGAAAAAAAAAAAAATCCCACAATTTGTTTTTTTTTTTTCTTTTTCTGCAGCGCCACCCACCGCCACTCACTTCTTTTCGCGTTATGTCCGCCGGTCTTTTACTTTTTTCTCTTCGTCCGTCTTGGGCAGGCCATTGCGGTAGTTGCCATCCTGTGTTTTCTCCACTCCACTGGGCACGATCACCTGCCACACCCGCTCCTCGCACTTACAGCACATGGCGGATCCTCACCAAGAATCGGACATAATTGCCGTTCCGCTCGTTCAGCTCCTTTATTATTTCCGGCCTTTTAGCACAC